CCTTCCACAGATGCTGCCAGACCTGCTGAGCTTTTCCAGCAATTTCTATTTTTGTTTCGGATTTATTGCATCTGCAGTTCTTTCAGTTTTTATTCCAAAATCTCACAACCCTCAGACACAAAAAACTCCTCACCTCTGCCTTAAACATGACCCAAAAAAAGCATCCTCCAACATAATGAGCTTTCTGGTTTCTCTAGAAATTGGTTGCCATTAGATTGTCTTAAATTGAGAGAACTACGATCACTATTCAAACATTTGACAATAATGCACAAAACAGTAGATGACTACCTTGGTATGATGCTAGCAACAGGCAGCAACTGCTTTTCCTTCACTGAGTATGATGTTCTGGCATAAGTGGACAGTATCATAGAATAATCTCCACTTATCCCAATGATACAGCTCCAACAAGAAGCTTGACATCATCTAAGAGAAAGCACCCTGCTTGCTTGGCATCTCATCCACCATCATAACCATCCATTCCCTTCACCATTGGCACACAGTGGTAGAGGTGTGTACAATCAGCAAGATGCATGGCAACAACTCACCAAGGGACTTTTAACAGCACTTTCCAAAGGTCCACCACCTTGAAGAACAAAGCAGGCTCCTTTAAAGACTACCACTTGCAAATTCTTCTCCAAGTTACACACCATCCTGACTTGGAAATCACCACTTTTCCTTCAGTAGTGCTGGGTCAAAATCCTGGAACTCCCCCTTTGACAATACTGTGGATGCGTCTACACCACTTGCACTGCAGTTGCTCAAGAAGACGACTCCCTATGACCCTATGAAGGACAATTTAGGATAGGCAATACCACCAGACCACACACCCCATGAATGCATTAAAAGATGATGGTGAGAAAATTATCCACTACACAAATTGAATTAAAAATAATCCAAAGTGGGATATTTTCAAATTCGTGTAAAATGGCCTCAGGTTGGTTGTCCATCCAATCTGGCTACAACCACAGCAAACATTAGAAGAATGTCTAAAATAATTTTAAAAGGGGGAATAAACTAATGCAATAATATTTTTCTAAAAATAATAGCAGTTAAATTGTAGAGATAAAATTTGTCTTGGGTGAGCACCAAAAAAAATAGTATTGCATCTGGCACTTGATCAATATTCAGGGGCATATAACTGGCTCAATGCTGCCCAATTTGTGTCCCATCCCATCGATTATCACTCCTTATACATTTTAACTCTCTTTCAATAATATAATTTTTAAGGAAATATTTTTACATCCATTTTGTCAGACGATATTTCCCTCAGGTTCATGATGTTCCCTTTCTCAATCTTACTTGTTGCTAAGCAGCAGCATAAAGTCATGTTGTTAGGGAGGCTCTCGACTTTAGAATTAAAATCACACAGACTGAAAGCAGGGAAGTCAGAGCATGAATCTTTGTAATGCAGCTACAAGATGAAATGTTTTCATGATAATTCATTTACATTCCATTTCCAAAAGTCAAAAGAGTTCTCGGAATTGATATTTTACATCTTAAAATGAGCTTGACACCTAATATAGCATAGCGTGTAACATGAAAATCTGAAGCCAAGATCCATTAACATTCACACAGAAATTTTGTTCATCTATTTAAGATTGTTTGCCATAAATAAAATCACAACTATATGTAGACACCAGAATAAAACTATTTGTAACCAATTTCTAATTTATATTATTGCACACGATGCATGATTTACTCCTTACTTTGTGCAGTGTATACTGTATGATTGTTAAATTAATGGTAATCTGAAACTTGCTGTCCGCATTAACATTTCATTGGAAATTTCAAGCATGATTGAGAAATATCAAATGACGTACCTTTCTTGACAGCTGTTATTCCCATTGAAGGTTGTCCCAGTGGTGCCTTTTTTTCCCACTTGCCTTCATCCATGTTAAAGATGTCTACAGAGCCTAAGGGGTTCTGCTCCTCATTCATGCCACCAATAATGAGGATTTGTTTGTTCAGAATGACAGCTGCTGCCCCAGCTCGAGGAGTGGGCATGGAGGGTAGCCCTGTCCATTTCTGACCGACAATATCCAACATTTCAAGTTTGTCCAGAGGCAATCCTGTCTCACTACAGCCCCCAAGAACAAACAACTGCCTATCCTGATACACCGGAGTGCAGTACACACGCTTGGTAGGCATTGGAGGGAAACTTTCCCAGTACATGGACTTTACACTGCTCACTGCCATATCTCAGGTGCCAGCAATAACTTGTTCCCACTGAGCAGTCACAGACCTGATATTTCTTTACTCAAATATTCCAGAGCATTAAGACACAGCAGGGGTCATCGGTGAAACATGTCGAGAAATAATTAGTTGGAAAAATGGGTGCAATCACTGGATTTCCACTGAGATAAATTAAAAATACCTGAGATACATTTTAAATGAGTGCTACAATCACTGGTTTGCAAGGTTGATCTTTTAGTGTTATTTCACATGAGAGTCCAAGGGCAGTATGTGCAAGTGAATGACTTCAGAAGGAAGGAAGAACACAATGGAGTAGTCTGTCACAGTCTTCTCAGACAGGTAGACCTTTAGGAAAGGAAAAAAAAGTACATGTCAGTAGTTGTTTTCCAATGTTGGTAAATTATTATTTTGCATTGGAAAACTGATTTAGTTTTATCATTTATGACAATTTCTAATCTCCATTTCTAATTACTATCCATCACTCTTACACATTCTGTAACCTTCAGGACGTAGTACAGAAGGTCACTGCCTAAAATCTAATTTTATTTAATGAACTCAAATCTCCAACTGTCCAAATTAGGTGAACATTTGAATCTTTTACAGCAGGTTTTGTACAGTCTTTCTTTTTAAGACCATAGTGGCAAATATTTACACTTATATAGACAGCTACTTTACCAATGTTTTTCCTTATAGCATACATAAACATCCATGGTGAAGGGTCAATGGCCTGAAACATTTTCCAACTTTATTGCTGAAGCAAGGAAGGTGCCCAGGAGGGTAAAATTGAACCTGCCAGGAATGTGAAAGCCCTACCAATGTGAATGGTGCAACCACTGTAATAATATGGTAAGTTCAACAGCCAAACTGATTATCAACTTGCCCAATTAAGGTTGAGGTGGAAAGGCCCATTGATGGTCTTCCTGTCCTGTCACCGATTGAGGCCCTTAAGTGGTCGATTGATGCACACTTCAGAATCTTATTGTGCTGCTGCTGGAGTTAACCCAGTGCCATTCAAGAAACACAGAAGGGAAATCTTGTTGGGATTTGCTTGTGGCTTTCTGGGGATATGGGACCTTGATTCGAAGGCACACAATGCCTGATTGAGAGGCTTGACATTAGGAAAATGGGGTGGGTAGATACCACTGAGAGTCTGTTGATCCCCTATTCATCTTTCTCCACATCCCCCACTGCACAAACACCAACCACAACCCCCATCCCCACAGCCGTCATCACTCAGCTGTGCTTTGCTCCATCAATGCTTGCTGTAGGTGGCGGTAGTACCAGCAGTGGCTACCACACTTCCCAGGGATGCTGTTGAACAGCAACAAGCTGCTGGCCTCTGATTGGCACTTTATTTTGCAGCTATTCCTGAAAAGAAGCCATATTGAGCTTCAGCCACAGGGCAAGACCTTCATCACCTCCATTAAGTCCTGCTCAATGTCAGCTTCTGATGAGATCTGGCACCACTTCACCAGTCCCTCTCTCAGCCCCTTCGCTGTCTCTAAACCGGCTACCTGCATGTCAACATCTAGTATTTGATGAATACTCATCAAATAAAGGAATGGTCAAAGCATTTTCTTTGATCACCCAGCTCCCTAACCATTGATTTCATCCTTCTCCTTGACAACAGTCTAAGATTGGACCACATCATCCTCAATCTTGATGTAATTTTTAACCCAGAGGTGAGCTTCCAATAATATATCCACACCATCACCAAGATAATTTGTTTTATGACTTTGCATCTGAATTGACTTATGGGCCACTGGGAAGGTAATGTCCTTATTAACTCTAAACCTGGTTACACAGATATTCTCTTACACAGGTTCCCACTTTCCACCTTTCATAAAACTGATGCTCTCTAAACCTCAGCTGACCATGTCCTAAATCGCACCAATTTTCATTTCCTTGTTGCTCTTGCATTCACTGAACTGCATTAGTTTCCAGTCAGGCAACTCAATTTTTAAAATTCTTGTTTTCAAATCTTCCGTGTTTTCACATATCCTGATTTCTGAAACCTTTGATCAGTCCTACCACCTGTGGCTCAGTTGATCTAAAACTTGCCTCTTGAATCAGAAGGTTGTAGGTTCAAGATGTGCTCCAGGGAATACATGAATTCATCTTGCACTCCACTGCAGTCATAAGGGTGTGTTGCACGTCTCCGTCTGCTCTTTTGGGTAAACATGAAATATTCCTTGGCACCAACTTGAAGAACAGTCAGTGTCCTAACCAACATTTAGAGTTAAACTAACAATAGAAAAACAAATTACTTTGTCATCATCAGATTACTGTCTGTGAGAGTTTGCTGTGTAGAAAGTCAATGCCCTGTGTCATTTTTGCAGCAATGATCACATTTCAAAGATACTTCATTGATTGTAAAGGGCTTTGAAACATCCTAAAGTTGCGAACGATTCTATATAAAGACAAGACTTTTTTCTTTTTCCCCAAATCTCTATAATCCTATAATTCTAGCCACTTACTTAAATTAGTCCACCATAAATGACTGTGGCCTTAAACCTTGGGAGTTCCCTCCCTAAATACCCCTCAGCGAAGAATAATCAGAGGAATCACACATAATCATTCTCACACATCTTTTGTTGATCTGATAGAGGTTGACTGTAGCCTGTGATTATTAACTTTTCCATCCACTTTAGCATGTAAGCAGTGTAGATGAATTAATAGATGGGGAGAATAAATCAATATATTATACAAAATCCTCTACCTGTACTGTCCATCACATGTGACGGCTCCATTCATTACCAAGTAAAAAAAAAATTGGAGCAACTTTAAAAATGGCTACAAAAGCAATAATGTGTGTGGTAAAATTCTGATTGCACAAACACAAAATGTAGGACATTCTCAACAGGTCAGGCAGCCTCTCTTTCTGACTTTAAGATATTCCCTAAAACCTACCTCTATGACAAAGCTGTCAATCATCTGTCCTATAGGTGAAGGTGAAGTCACCATTGTCCCAGGAGACCAAGGGCTGATCTCTTATTAGAGAGAGAGACAGAAAGAGAGACAGTCATCTGTCCTGTATATCTCATGTGGTTCAGTTTGATTTATTTTGATAATGTTCCTATGAAATACCTTTCAGCAATTTATTATGTTAAAGATTCTTTAAAAAGCAAACTATTGCTGTTGGTACTTTGGAATAGTTTCCAGCACCGAGCAGGGAGGTCTAAGTATCAGTTTAGTTGGGGTGGGGGAAGTTGGCTGGGTGGGAAGGCTGCAGGTCAGGTTGGGGCAGCCAAACTCTCCCTTGAGAGGGCTGACTTGGGGCATGCGGTTGAGAGCAGTAAGGCCTGCTCCCACTGACCCATAAGAAATGCCAGAGGAGTCACTTACTTTGAATAACCAGGAGCTACAGCCTTGGATGAGTTGCCATGAATCACACAGGCCAGGACTCTCCGTCATATAACACTGAAGTTAATTTGTGGTGTTAATGATATTATCAGACTTTGATTTTGATACATTAAATAGTCCGGCAGTGGGAGTATCAACCACAGTATTATTCCTGCAACTTAAAATTTTAATCAGTAGAATGGGTAAATTTGAGACTGGGCTGCTAAATCCTGGAATTGCAAACCTCTCTATTCTTTAGAGACAGGGTTAAAACTAAGGTCACTAAATCTGTCCACAGATGCTGCCTGACCTGTTGAGAATGTCCAACATTTTATGTTTGTGCAATCAGAATTTTACCACACACTGAATTATTGCTTTTGTAGCCATTTTTAAAGTTGCTCCAAATTTTTTTCTTACTTGGTATGAGTGGAGCTGTCACATGTGATGGACAGTACAGGTAGAGGATTTTGTATAATGAATTGATTTACTTTCCCCATCTATTAATTCATCTACACTACTTACATGCTAAAGTGGATGGAAAAGTTACAAATCACAGGCTATAGTCAATCTCTACCAGATCAGCAGAAGATGCGTGAGAATGATAATGTGTGATTCCTCTGATTTTTCTTCACTGAGGGGAAGCATCTGGCCCTTGTGCAATGGCTGAGACTTGGAAGGCATTGTGCAGGAAACTGTAATCGTGGATTGGTCTTCCATCACTTTGCAATGAGTATGCCATCATTGTTGTTTAAGTTTCATTTCAAAAACATCCAAAATGTAAACATTCCTAACTTGAGATAAATGCAGCAGACACTAACAGCATCTTGCAATATTCAGGTCCTTGTCAACCGTTGTTTAGGCAGCTCTGACATAAGGAAAGATTGATTGATGGATGTCAGTGTGACAGTGTCAGACTCATGGCTTTAGTGCCATATGCTACCACTGTTTCCCTTAAATAGTTACTATAACGTTTGGTACCTGCTGAATCAGACAGTAACCCACATTCTTTCTGTATGAATGCCAGTGTAGATATAGCTATCAGATTATTATTTTGCTTTCAGAAGCGTTCTGAATTTTATAACAGATCCATTGATTCCGTGTTCAACATAAATTGTTCTCCTATCTGAAGAAACATTGTTTTACTTTAACCTGAATTTCGATTACTTCAGCTCTCAGACGCTGCACCTTCTTATAAACGTCCAACTTTTCATTACAAAGCAATTGTGCCTGCCTCAAATAATTTATAAGCAGCTTTCCCTTAACTACAAATTCTGAATACAAAGACATCCTTTTCTAATCTACAATAAATCCTGAAATAAATTATTTTGTATCATTGAGGAAGAAACTTCACAATTAATCCACTTATCATTTTGAAATCAATGCAGATCCACTCATTTCCCACCTATTTAATTGTGTCATTACTTATTCATGACTCCAAACTAATTTTGCATTTAATGAATTATTTGGCTATTTATATAGATTTAGGTCTGAATTTTACAAATGGCAGTAATGTCTGCTCCGATGATTTTTCCCAGCATTACCACTGAACATTAAAATTAAACAACACTCTCAAGGGCTAGGAGGAAGAATGATATACTTATGTCTGACCTTTTCCTTTCCGAGGGGAAAATAAAATTATCACTGTCCATGTGTTACCAAATAATTGCTCTTTGAAAAGTAATTCTGTATGCCCACAAGCACTTTTATTGCTGTTTTTGTATTATAGACAAGGATTCACAGAGCTGCCGAGGAGCTTAGATAAAGTCATTATTAATTTTAGCACCCAACTGGCCTTCTGCTTCTGGACTAGGCATTTCCTTTCTAACTAGTGTAATTTTGGATGTTTCATTGGAATAATACTACCTAAAGATAATAAATTCAAATAGAGAGATTGTCAGCAGGGCAAAAAAAAAATTCTGGATGAGTTAACCTCTGCCTGCCAATAGTAAATGATGACTGTGATTAATACTAAATCCTGACTGAGTTATCACATTGCCACCCTG